GATGGCCCTAATAGTTTGGGGTTTAACTTCAAGGTCTCTCATTATATTCTTAACCAAAAAGGCTTAGCCTCATCTTGTACCACAAAAGACAGTAAACTTAAATTTGCAGGAGCTGGATTCCAAACTCTGTGGGTAAGGCAGGTACAAAGTTACCCCTGGAAATCCTCTGCATGTCAAATATTGGAGATTTAATCTCTCTGAGGAAGTACAATTTAGTCAGTCTTTCTTACAAGACGGCTACAGATGACGCTGTTTCAGATTGAGCAGTTGGCTTTGGTGTAGGAAACATGGTAAAAGATGCAGTCTTAAGAACAGAGTCCTCTGAACACTTAGAATGCACGGCGAGAGTGTGTATGCCATGTTGGTGGCCAAGAACCAGCTAATGGAAAGCTCATCCATGTTGTGGGTCACATGCATGTTGAGGCATGATTAAGTCTTGTTTTCACCCTAGCTGTGTGCACCTCTTTGGTTTGTTGGAGGCAGTATGCTTGGACTCTGAGCCAGAAGGCGTGGGTCCCAGCTCCTGTCACATACTACTTGTGTCACTCATTATTTTCTATCCCTTCATTTCTTCATCTGTGAAATAGAAAAAAAAATTCAATGCCTATGTGTGCAATTCGTGTTACTCTTGATGTGCATTGAGCTCCTTCTACGTGCTCAGCACTGTTCTAGGCACTGGAGCTTAGCACTGAAAGCTAGACAAAATCTCTGCCCTTCGATGCTTTACATTATAGTGAGAGTTGGCGGACAACAAAGATGGACAAGTGTAAGTGCCAGGAGCAAATAAAGCATAGTTCCAGGGTAGTAGATACCGTGATGCGAACACCTGTTGGCTGTTTTTAAGGACAGGCTTTTCTAGGGGTGTGTGTGACATTTTAGCTAAGACTGAAATGCTGTAACAATTTCAGTCAAAAGTGTCCTGAGTTGAGGGACCTGACTCAGAAGATTTTCATTTGTATTGGTTTATTTCTGTTATTTACCTCAGAATATTAGGATTTAAAATATAATACATGTATGTTATTGATGTTATAAGAAAGATCACTTCCTGATTTTTT